GCAGCAGCTAGAAAATAATATACTAAATGCTAGTCTGCACATATTCATGTGTACGCTACAGATTGCGGGCGTGCATTATCAACACAGTTTGCTAAAATTAAAGCGAATTAAGGGAGGGAAAGTACTTTTAAACGTGGTCGACGAAAATCACGAACTTGTCTTCACCAATAGTATACTAAGACGACTGGGGTATTGATACCGTAGATTTGGTCACAGGGGGACTTTTCTAAAAATTTCGCGGTCCTTTTATGCTCATCTGAATCGCAGCTTATATGACATCGGAAAAACATCTGATCGCAAACGAATCCTTGCGGGGATGTTGAAAACCCCTTTTTCTGTTTGATATCGAACTTTGGAGATGTGTTCTTTTAAAAGATCTCAAAACAAATTCTTGAAAAGGTTAGTGAAGCTAGTTTATGATAAAAATGAACCGGAAAGAAATGACAAGAAGCCTTTGAGCACTTCGAATGAACTAACATCTATCGAAGTGAACAGCGCCCACTCCGAGCGAAATCGAAATCACTCATGAATTCCATGAAGTTCATGTATCCAAATTATGCGTATGTAGCTATTCACTTCTGTTGTACGTAAGTCGTTTAATTCATATTGCATTTAGCCCCCAACATGTAGCTTGTCACATACATACAGCTTGCCGACGATCAGCTTTTTCGTAGGGCAATAGGTGCGTTTTTAAGAATTCGTGGTCCTCATGAAAACCTGCGTGTTCGTAGGGCATGGGCGGACTACGACAGCTTGGGCAGTGCGCCCTTGTGGAGCGCTTCCAGAGAAGGTGCTGGCTATACTTGGGAAGCTCATAAAACTCACAAGGGCTGTTACTTATACATCGGATAGATGGCGCAGAACAAGAACAAAAACCTACGGTGACTTGATGAATATGACCTAAAATTGGTTACTATTATAATGTGTTTGGGTCGAAACGCTTCTGCTATTGATGCCACATGATGTTAAATTTTAGCAAACGGTAGTTGTCCGCTCTACGACGCTGACTGCCATTTTACATCCCAGTGAACCGGTAAAGCTAAAAAAAAATATCACTAAACTCAAAGGTGTCATACCTGGCGCAAACCACTACACAAACCCAAATGCATCTGTTACTTAAGGCCGACTTGAAAGACAAGCTAGATTTTGCAACAGTTGATCACAGAAAGGGGTAGACATTGATTAGGCCGATTCACAACACTATGATCCTACAGTCGTTTAAACCTAATTCAATTAGACCATATTCATAGATCCCTATATCTGACTCTCGTAACCCTCATACGGTTACTCCTATATCATATTAATAAATAGCCCCACGATAACCGTGCACACAAATAATCAACAGTAGCTTACTATTGATAAAAGCATTGCCAGCAATGGGATGCCTCATTATGTTGTAATACACTTTGATCAAATACTTTTGTCAAAACTTGCCCCGTATATATATATATATATATATATATATATATATATATATATATATGTGCATAGCTGGATAACTCGTCTTGTAAAAAAGAAATCTGCTCTCTTTTTGCCGATGCTTATATCGATTGTCTTCTCAGACCCAAGATGTTTTCGTGAAGCACAAATTTACCGTGTACCGTTGTTTGTTACCAGTTTGCTTGGCACAATTTAGAATTTCATAAGGCCAAACGTTGTTGAATAAACTAATAATAATCTTGCCAATTGTGAGTCTCAAAATCTTTTCCTCATTTCACCTACGAAATTCTCTTGCCTGAGTGCCTACCTACTATGCTTCTGATTAGTGACTGCATGGCCCCAAAAAACTCATTAGTCAATGCCCGCATCGAATAAACATTAGCTTTCATTTGCTAAGGCACCAACTTGCACCATTCTTACTTGCCGCCGAAGATTTCACGAGGATATTTCTCAATTAGTGCCGCAAGATTCCTATAGATCTGCGGTTAAGATGTAAGTGGTCAAAACATAATATTTTATGCCGTACATTACAACACGAAATCAGGAATTTTCCTAGAAAAATCAAGTTTGACTTGTGGGCCATAGGACGCTGGACGTATTTGTGCCCAATTTCAATGTGTACTCTATCAATACAATACGTATATATGAATTATATATTTAAAATAAATATGTGTCCCGTTCCGATCGGCTGTGGATATTTAACATCCTACCCCAGTCATTCGCCAGTCTCCAGGATTTCGAAGCTATGCAGTGCTACCAATTCGGTGGCAGCGTTGGAAGCCGGATTACCAGGACTATTTACAATAAGTTGATACAGCCGGAGCCTTGGTTTTTGACAAAACGGTTGAAGCAAATGAAAGAAAAGGCGTTCGTTGAACCCAAGCGAGCGCTTCGGGACAAATTAGAACTTGTCAACAAGTTCTAGCTCTGTCATTACGCTTTTCCGATTCAAATTAAGAAGAACAACGAAGTCTGTTCAACTTATTCGGCCTCGTAGCTGACCTGATGTAGGCCCTTTGAGGATTACGACAAGGGGTGCCCCAGAATCAGCGGAGATAGATCTCTCCAAAATATAGTCGTACGAGATGTCGCAACGATTGTTATCTGTGTGGGCCACGTAGGAGGGGAGGCAAATTGCTCGCGTAGTTCTGTGTTGTAAACAATAAACAAGGTGCTATGCCTCGTTGTTAGCTCGTGACGGTTTAGAAAGACCAGTTTATACCTCCGGAGTCGTGTGGGTAGTCGCGACCGTTGTATTACTGAGGCTCACGGTTCAGATGGATGGGGGCTTGCATGCGCCTCCCATGAGCACTTTTGTGACTTCATGCAGTGTGGTGACTATCGATCCGGAAGGCATAGGTGGAGTCTTCCTGAATAAATGCCGGTCGCTGCTAGATTCAAAGGAATTTCAGGTTTGGCTTAACTCAGGCTGTGTATTATCCACAGGGTCGGAAATTTCCGATAGACTCTTGTCTATCAAAAAAGCTCTCGAGTTCTATAGTAGTCTGACCGTAATTATTGAATGAGGTTGCTACTTGAAAGGTTTGGGCATTTATTTGCGAAACCAATGAACTTATAGTTTCTTATAGCTATAATGCAATTCGTCAGCAATATCGTATCTAGCAGTGGTTACATCTACAACGAGTCGTATCAGCACAAGGGGTTAGCATCGAAACAGAAGTTCGTTTACAATTGAAATACCGAGCGATGCAAGAGTCTACGGCCTGGAGACGGTGCTCGTCCAGTTTGACTGGTACGTGGAACGCCTGGTAGGTCTCTCTCAGTCGAAAAGGAGGGAGAAGTGGTATCCGTTGAGTGTTTGGCTGTTGTCTGGGTGGTGACGGAATTCCATTCATCCATACCTGTGTGTACAACGTCTTGTGGTGACCATTAAGAAGTTAGTGCGCTGAAAGACCTGCAAGGCGAGTGAAATCTGCTCCAAACTGAGATAGTAGCTTTGAAGCTGTGGGTATATGACCTGGATGTACGGCAGTGTAAAAAGGGGGCGCTAAGTGCTGTAGCTGACCTCGGATCCCCTTGTTAGATGGTAACCGTTCTTCAGAGATACGTTGTTCAGTCGTATAGTCGTCAAAGAATAATAAGAGTCGGCTAACTTTCGCTATAGGGACTCATGCCGTACCATTCCAGTTTTCGCGCGGTCAAGTCGGCGGGATTCACTCTCTTCTGTCAAGACTATTCAAGCTTTAACAAAGACTGTCCACCAGTTGACGTCTCCTTACCTCTCGGAGAGAAGTATCCAGGCGAGGATCACCGAACCATAAACACTCCTGTCTCAGATGCCCGACGAACCGCTGACGCGCTTGTTCGGAAATACAGACCTGGATTTTATAGGCCCCCTGTACCTACCAGGTACCTCTGGTCGTGCTAGTGATTACTGTAGTTCTTTCTAATTTCTCCGCTCGCCATGCGCGTAGAATAATGCCAGAATAGAGAAGAGTAATGTCAGCTATTGCGCTCTACATTTGTTGTGTGGGGACCGCCTTAGCCCACACGCAAACGAACGGACTCGTAGAGATAATGGTCCGTATCCCCACGGAGCTTTTCCCCTCGCGTCCGCTGGTTCGTCCGGCTCCTTCGTTTCCGCGATGCTCTTAATCGTTATCTCAATTGTGAATACTAGGCTTAGTAAAAGCCTAGGCGCAATGCAAACGCCATTTAAAATACTCCACGAATTCAAGGCTGTACTGCCAAAGAAAGCCGCCAGAGTCGCGATCTGCCAAAGAAGCTGGGTGTTCAGTATCAAGATTGCGAACAGAGGCCCATGGCCAGCTGAGGCGATCCTTGAGAACATAATCTCCCAAGTTAGGTGGTTCGGTCGAGGGGGTCCGTATTTGGCTTTTTTTGCGCTGCACTCCACAAATTAGGAGGACTTCTATCCATCCCTATCCAAAACCAAGTGTCGAGAAGCAGCTTACGTGGTACACGTATCGTTTACGCCGACATACGGAATATCAAAAATGACTGGGCGCGGGATGGAAGCATTTTGCCCACCATCATAGCCGTGTGAAACGGTAGTATAAAACAAAAAATGCATTCCCGGTTTCGGTCAACCGCTACTATATAATATTGTCGTTCGCCATACGTCAAACCTTGTTACTGTTTTGATAAGGTTACAAGAAAGAAAAATTAGAATGTTTTTTGATAAGGTTACAAGAAAGAAAAATTAGAATGTTCTATTTTTTATGAAGGTGCCACCACTGTGTACAAGCTGCACGGATTTTCGTTCCTACACCCGTACATCGTCATCGATAAATAGAGATCTCAAAGATTTACTTCCTTTATATGAAAAATTATGACATTTATTTCGCTCGTTACCATTTTCTTATCAACTTCTGCTTCTTCATCGTCTCTTCCATATATTCACTTATTACCTGCGCTTATCTTCGTTCTTAGTTATCGTTTCCTAGATCGTAATTCGTCGTGCTATGTATGCGCTGGTTTAAGTATATGTATATAAACATGGCTTCTTTCTTGCCCGCTTACATGCAACGTTCAACGTTCTCCCTACACTTGCTGTTACGGGCTGCCTTTTCGCTTCGTTTTCTATCTCTCAGCCTGCCTGTCGTTGATGGACGGAAGCGCATCTCCTACACTCCTCATTTTCCGACTTCCTTCGACTCCGCACTCGTTCAGTTTTCTCTCGAAGTCTCTATAGCCATTGTTACTTGCCCTTGCTAGATTCGTCAGTGTTCGTTTTCGGCTTGACCGAGGCAGAAGTCTCCTTGGCTTTCTCCTTTGAAGCTTCCGCAAACTCTTGGACATCAGTTCCAGATTTCTTCTGCAATGTAGAAGAAAGGTCGCTGTCATTTAGTGACTTGCCATCGTTCTTCGTTGAAGATTCTCCTTTCGAGTATTTGGCGAGGCCTTCATTACTAAAAACAGCCTTCACCTCGATGTTACTACTTTTGTTCGACGCTTTTTTACTGTTAGACTTATCATCTTTTTCCGTTTTGTCCTTAGGAGCCCTCGCCAACGCTAGGCTACCAGTTCCAACATTCTTTTGCGATGCAGAAGGAAGTTCGCTATCGTGACGCGATTTATCGTCGTTTTTTGAGTTCTTGGAGACGCTTTCATTGTTAGAAGCAATCTTTATCTCGGCGCTGCCACCTGTATCCGACACTTCTTTGCCGTTAGGCTTCTCGTTTTTGTTTTGGTAGCTGCCTCCCGCAGCACCGTGAGCTTCGTCCCTTTGATCACGGTGTTCAGCAGCTGGGTTGGGGGAAACTGATGACTCCCCTTCAGTACGGTGGGAATTGTTCCTCCTCCTGAAAGGCATACGAAAACAAAGTTGCGATATCATGTCATTTCTATTTCAGTTTTGGCTACATAGGTTAGAAATGGGAGTTGTAACCTCACACTTAAAGATTTGCGCAGAATGTCATGCGTATATTGGCCCCCCTTCCTTTGTGGTTTACAGGAAACTAAATTACAATGTAAATTACAATGTTAGCTACCAACCGAAAAACTAAAGACTTTTAGAATAACTCTGCTTCGGTTCAAAATATATTATTCAGAATAATACAGACGCAGTGACCGCGCTGAACTCCTGATATTTAGAATCTATAGCAAGGCCTTGATGCTATCATCCGAACAATTGAAGAAGCAATTATCGTTGACGAGTCTGCATTGGAGTAAATAAGGTAGATTCGAACTTGGCAACTACCAATAAACAGTAGAACCTGATAGATGTACTTGTTTTTCGGCAGGTAGCCCTGGGGCAAAACGACCGCCACAGATCTGCGTAGGTAGCTTAAACTAAATGTACACGAAAAAAAAAAGCTTGTCAATCTGACGTAGTCTATACAATTTTCTCCGTACCCGTGTAATGACCATAGAAATAAGTTCGAGCGAAATAAGTAAGTTATTAAAATAAACCTGTAAATTGTATCTACCAACTCGGCATTTTGCGGTATGAACTTGAAACCTTTAAATGTGTGCCTACTTTGTGCATGTGTTACCTATCTCCAAAAAATTCATCAGGCTTTTTAGATAAAAGAAATTTACCGAAAGAAACTTAACAACACCCGAAGGTGCAAATACGTTAAAGAACATTGAAAAGCCACATAAAGCACAAGTCTGCTGCTGTATTCTTCTCGTCGTGTGCATGGTCAGTATTTGGGATACTAAAACGCTGTTTCGAATCAGTGTTGAACGGCAGTCCGGATTTTCTATGCATATATCAATTACTCATCTCTAAATCAATGATTTTTGGTAGTGATTCAATTCGGGTCATTACGCTTGTTGCCTAGTGACATATATGACGGCTGAAGTTTTCCTATCTGCAGTAAAGAAGTTTTCCCCGTATTAATCGATTATCACCTATCTCAGTAGTGTTGTTTTTTATCACCAAGCACTAGTATTTCGGTCATTTTGTTCTTCTTACTCTTCGCTTTGCGGTTTCTCGCTTCGCTCCGTCCTGCTTTCAGGCCCTCTCCTTTGAACAGGCAGAACTGTCAGTCAGCCAGCTAGCCAGCCATCCAGCGAGACTTAGGCTGCTGAACTTTACAGACAAGGAGCTTAAGTAAGATCTTATCCCCGCGTCATCCGTTACGTCCCATGTCATCATTCCCGCATTCTTCACCCCGGCTGCCCCTTGCCCGAATTCCTTTTTTCCGTTCGGCTTGACTGGTTTCTAGAAATGAGGGCGATTGGGGGCATCGGTGGATACAGAGACAGGCTCTTGAGAAAACTCGGCCGACAACGAAACGAACTAAAGCGTGCCAAGCTACCAACCAAGTAGCGTAAGGACAAGGAAAGAAACAGACCAAACTACCCAAAAAAAGTTTCCTCATTTCCGTCCCCGTCTACCATCGTGCACCTAAGCTGCGGGGCTTTCTAGCCCTTTTTGCTTTTCTATTTTTCCAGCTGGTCATGATCTGGTGCATTATCCAATGACTACTTTGGTTGATGACCTATTCTATCCCGAAGCCCCTATAGACATCACCTTTTCTCATCGAAATCCATCACGATTACGGCGTATCTTCTTTCCTCTTTCAAGATCTTTGTTCAAGTCCGTGACGCTACTCCGTCAAGAGATCACTGGTAGGGAACTAATAGAACAACCGGGCTGGTAGCCGGGCGTACGCCGCTGAGAGGCGATTCGAAGAAATGGGGGCGTATGAGAGAATATATCAAACAGTTCACTGCCGCTATTGCCGTTGCCATCACCGTCGGCTGCTGTAGCCGCTCACTGTTGTCTTTAACATTTTTCGCCCATTTTCTCCTGGTCGACTTCAATGTTCGCGCCTTTGAGCTACCAAGCGAATCGTACGGAAGTGTCCCATATCCCGCAAAAATCGTCCAAACGAACCCTCCTTCGAAGACGAGTAGCGCAACTGGGTGATGGCCTAGGATGGCCTGCAATTTTTTTCTTTTCGTCCACTATCTTTCGCTTTCGTTTTTTAGAACTTTCTTTTTTATCTTCCTTGAATTTCCTTAGCTAACTCTAAAAGACCAAGAATAGAAATATAGAAAAATAGGTTTCTTCTTTCGGCGACGCGGTGAGCGTTTTCTTCGGACGCTTACTAGCCGTCCAATGGTCTCCCATTTCGAGTCAATGGAGGCCAACAACTAAGGTAAAATCTACGTTTCGCAAAATTCTGCCTCAGTACCTCGTGTCTTCTTTTTCCTTTGTCTGGTTCTTTCTTATTTTTCGCCTGTGGGTTTTGCGAATCTGTGTTTTTAAAGGATTATGGAAAGTAAGGTGGAGACCAGGAAAAAGCTACAGCATATCTACCCCGATAGATGATGGGAGGCTGCCATGGTTACGCTATGAGTAGCCGAAAACGAGAGCTATTACGCCCGCACGAGATATTGCGTTCGAAAAAAAATTGCGTTGGTATATTCGTCAATGCTATGCCTCTACACGGACGTGCACGCACTGTAACATGCATTGTGTGCATATCCGTGTACCTGAATCTTAAGCTTTACGCGTATGTCTAAGAAAGCCAAATGTGGAAGGATATAGGTTTGCCTGCTTTAGATTATGCAGAAGCAGAAAGACTGAGCAAATTTTTAGAATCGGAACATAGGAATTTCGTCGACAGATCGGGCGTCGGCCTGCAGGCGCGCGGTTGACTTTTTTGGGCAATGTCATTTCCAGAACGAAAGCCCGCGTCTGCCGTTTGCGGAATGAAAAAAACGAGCTCATTGAAGCCTCGTGGAGCGGAGCCGACCACAACTCCTTACTTCAAATAAAATGTCGAGTAAATTACGTTTACTCATGAGTATCTGCCAAATGAAGGACGAAATGAATAGGACTAACGGCCTTTTTCCATAGAAACAAATTAAGCTCACAAGTAATTAACAAATTATGTAATATACTCCATCATGGGACTAGTGATTATGGTTTGCCGGCGAAAATAATCTAAAATTGTCACAATTGTAGACTAGTGTAATATTAATCTGACAACACATGGAAGCCGTAGGCTTTAGTAATGTGTAAATTCCGATGAATCGCGAGGCAGGAAAATATATCGGGGCAGAAATTATTAACCGTCAAACTTATACCTTGGTGGTATGACAAAATTTCTAACTATATGTAAAATAATGAATGTAATCACTTACATTAATTAAATTATTGAAGGATTGAACTAGACTCACCTTACCTTATTCTAAGGTACTATTTGGGTCCTTTTATCTGAGAAAAACAAATTAGCGTTTTTGGAATTTCAGGCCTTCACAGGTGTCAAAGTAACCAATACCCTCGTCAATATATTATCATACAGTAAGCTCTTGGAGGTACACTGGCAACGTATCTAAGCTGGCTCAACATAACCCCCGGTAAGATCTTTGGATCTATATATAGCATGACCCGTTCTTTATTATTCGAAGACATCAATGTAAATCAAATGTGTCGCCTACAGCGATGTTAACTTCAATACCCAGCTAAGTGTTGCCAGTATAAGTTGCACCATGCTTTTACGAGATTAAATTGATATGCGAAGGACATGATTTTTGCTATGCTACTTTACCCTTGCTTGCCCTTCTCCTGGTGGAAGTAATTTTTTTGTAATAAAATGATTTATTTTGTAGTTGGCCAAGCGCTTCCATGCGTTCGTATTTTACTACTGCATCCTGTTACACAGACTGAAAACCTCTACTATTCAGGTGTGCCACAGGCACTGGCTGTATCGCTCAAAACTTTGTTACACTTACCCCCTCAACATTCTTCGTCCGTAGCGACACAACCCCAGTTTGGCTCACTACCTTACCTACTGTCCTCTTCTCGATTCTCAGTGAGTGCACTATACTTGTATTTTGTGGTATTGCGAATTAGCCAACTCACCTGCCAACTACCATATCCCGAAAGATACACAGGCGTGCTTTGTACCTTTTGCTTCAGCCTCTTTGGTAATACACGTACCTATTGTTTCTCCCAAGCAACGGCTCTAGAAGGTTGAGGTCGGTAAAATAAATAGGAGAGTGAAAGCCAGGCTAGTACTGAGTACGCGATACCTTTCTGAACGATACAGGCACACATACACACACAAACAAATCGACATGGAGTCATTTGGTTGCCCGCATTGCTTCGTGTGGATCGGTGTATGTGAACCAGTGGCTAACATTTGAAAGCCTCGGTTGGAGGGCATACACTCATAACAAAGAAGACACGTTGTCTGTCATTACCTCATGCATACAAGAGATTAATCAGTTGGCCCTTTGCGTTCCATTGCCTCTGCTCCTTCACACATTCTACTTTGGCGCACACATGTATCGCCGACCTCTCACCGAATAGAGGTATCTATTAGGTGTAGGCCGAAGTAAATCGTTAGGTCGGCATAGCTGTGGTAGTAGATGAAGGAAATTGACACTCGTAAGTACAAGGAACAAGCGTGCCTTGCTAAAACCCGTTCTCGGACGCGTCCTAACGGTTGTGGATAATGGCAAAGTGTTCCTGGAAATACAAACGTAGCGTAGGCGATAGTGTCCTGCGTCTACAGCCGTCAGTGTACAGACGGCTTTTTGCTGCTACTATTGTTTAAACAGCAGCTTAGGTGCAGAATGTGGGTTGTTCTGTTTACGCGCTAGGCATAACATCCGTCTCCCAAAGCCGAGGAAAGTATGAACCCCAGTAGGTTCTACGGCACCTGGTGGCATGTGGGCGAAATAACCAGTTTTTGCTCAAGAAAGTGGTGAAGGTAATCGTTGAGAAAAATGACTTTTAGGCGTAGCGATAGGCCTGACCTAGGATAGTGCACGACAGACTGACAATAGAACACATGGACATTTCTTGACTGTACAGGGCCTAAAGACCTGAAAGAAA